TATTAGTCCATTTTCACACTGCTGTAAAGAACAACCCAAGACTGGGTAATTTATAAAGGAAAGAGGTTTAATTGATTCACAGTTCCGCATGGCTAGGGAGGCCTCAGGAAACTTAACAATCTTGGTAGAAGGCAAAGGAGAAGGAAGGCTATCTTCTCATGGTGGCAGAAGAGAGACAGCAAAGGGGAAAATTGCCGCAGTTGAAAACCATCAGATCTCATGAGAACTCACTCACTGTTCTCTCACATGAGAGAACAGCATGGGGGAACCACCCCCAAGATTCAATCACCTCCCACCAGGTCTCTCCCACCACACATGGGGATTACAATCCAAGGTGAAATTTGGTTGGGGATACAGAGCCAAACCATGTCATTACCTGACATTTATTATCCAACCTTTCAATAGCACTCTGAAAAGAGATTATTGCCCTTATTTTAGAGATGAAGAAATGAGATCCAGATAGATCAGCCTTTAGTTGATAGCCAGTACATTTTTGTTGAGTTAAAAAGTAAACTCGTTCCTGATAGTTTGTATTTATGTGCATGTTCTCCAAAGATATATGTGTATTTGTGTGTGTACATGCATGTAATGCAGTTGTGCATTTTATTTTATTTTATTTTATTTTATTTTATTTTATTTTATTTTATTTTATTATGACAGAGTCTCTCTCTGTCACCCAGGCTGGAGTTCAATGACTCAGCCTCTGTTCATTGCAGCCTTTGCCTCCAGGGTTCAAGTGATTCTCATGTCTCAGCCTCCCGAGTAGCTGGGATTATAGGTGTGCACCACCATGCCCAACTAATTTTTATATTTTTAGTAAAGAAGAGGTTTTGCCATGTTGGCTAGGCTGGTCTCAAACTCTTGGGCTCAAGTGATTGCCCACTTCTGCCTCCCAAAGTGCTGGGATTCCAGGTGTGAGCCATGGCACCCAGTAGTAATTGTGCATTTTAAAGGATCAAATTTGTAATAAGCTCCTTTAAAAAGTGGGAGAGCTAGATAAGCTGAGGCTGTAAATATTTGGGAAAAGAGCCAAAGGTAGAGAAGAAAGCTGGCCTCATGTGTGTTAAGAGTTAGAAAAATTAATTTGGAGTTAAAGTTAGAAGGAATATCAGTTGCATAAGAATGAGCAGGTGAATTTGTGAAAAATACAGATTCTTGGTCTTCATTTCCTCAGATGACTGAGTGAAGTTGGGATGAGGCTTTGGATTTGTACTTTCGCAAAGTTTTAGAGGTGAGTCATATGAACGGCTAGGATTTGAATCATGTATAGCTCACCAAAATGAAAGATCTAACAAAGATAATTTCAGATTATTTTTCATGTAAAATTAGGGGGAATCAGGAAATAGGCTTAGAGTGTTGGAAAGAGCATTTTCACAAATTTCCCGTCTTGATAAGAGACCCAGCCAGAAAGAATTACACAATTCTAGAGGAGTGATTTTATTCTAATTGAATGATAGAGAATTGAAAGTCCAAAGAAGTACTACACAAAGAAAAAAAACCCAAACCAAAAAACTGAACTATACCTATGTGTTCTACTAGTAGTTTGTCTATTTGTTTTTAGTTGTTGCTGATTTATTCAAGAATTCCTGAACGAATACCTACCATTCACCCACTGTGTAGGGAAAAGATAGCAGAGAGAGGGGAAAGGTATAATGGGATAAAGAAGAATCTTATTTAATAAATTGAATTATTTCAACAAAAGGGATCACTGGCAAATTGGGCACACCTTCTGATTTCACCTGGGGGAAATAATTTTTCTGTGGCAGTTCGTCTTAGTACAAGAGACATTTATTCTGTCAGTCACTCTGCTAGGAGATATTCATGCATAAATGAAAGACAGTCTTTGCCCTGGGCTATGTTATAGTCTTTAGTGGAAAAATCGGATACATGAACAGAGGCCTTCATTGTAATTTAGGAATTACTTTAATAGCGGTGAAAAGGGCAGATTTAAAAATATTTAGGTGATACAAATTGTAGGAATTGGTGATTGAATGTTGGGGGCTGAGAAAAAGTCATAGGATGATTCACAGATTTCCAGTGTGGGTGACTTGATGAGGATGAAGAATAACATTAACTCACATCCAAAATACAGAATTAGAAACATACTTGTGAGGGGTGGGAGGGAAAATCAGCTTTGTTTTCAGTATGTATAATGTGACTCAAACACATCTAAGTGGAGGCAGTATAGCATAATGGGAAGGTGTTTTGGCTTGGGAATCAGACCACATAGAGTTATAACTAAGCTATGTATGACTTTGAGATAACTAACCAACCCTACCAAGTCTCAGTTTCTGTGGGGACAGTGCTAGTACACACTACACAGGAGATGTGAAAATTAAAAGAAATAATGTGTGTTAAGTACTTAGCACTAGGCACATAGTGAGATCTCAATCGTATGTGTGAACTCAGGAGATGTCCAGTTTGGGGAGTCATTAACATAGAGGCTAAAATAATGACAGTAGGTAAGATTCCTGTAGAGAGTGGACCCTTGAGGAAGAGTAGTAGTGAACACGGCTTGTACAGAGAGGAATAAAATCCAAATGAAAAGTGGTGTGATTGTTTACTATGTATAGAAGCTTTGTAGATAATTGTGCTTCTTAGAGAAGTTGTAATTTAAGGTTTATGATTGGAGCACAACCAGGGATATTTATGACCTTTGAAAAATTCACAAACATAAAATTTCACATGGATTTCTTTTTAAACCAAACTTCCTATTTAATTAAATAGTAATAAAATCAGCCCCTCGATACTTTTAAACTACTTGCCAATATGCTTTTTAATTTTTTCTGAGAAGCTATTTGAAACTCTGCGGAATGGTATAGACACAAATTATTTGCTTGAGTAGTGCTGATACTTTAAGGTTACCATAAGTTACCTTTATTTCCTTATATATTCATCAATTGTCTTCTTGTTAGAGCCTTAAAAACTTTGTTTTAATAGCTTAGGAAATGATACGGTTTGGCTCTGTGTCCCCACCCAAAAAGATAGGCGAGATCTATATTACAGCAATTGCTCAGTGCTGGCTGGCTGCAATGCACTTTCCAGCCAAGTGAAGCACAACGAAGAGGAGTAAACAGTAGTTGATCCCATTTGTCTTAAAAGGTGTTTAAGTTTTGATTTGCAGTGTGTCGTAAAATGAAGCTAGATTTTTATTTAAGGAAGAAATGGTCCTAAACAATGAAATAAACGTTTACATCGAAGAGAAATTTTCATTCAAGTTTATAAGTAGGAAGGCTTCCTATTTTCTTTCTTTCTTTCTTTTCTTTTCTTCTTTTTTTTTTTTTTTTTGAGACTGTTTCGCTCTTACGGCCCAGGCTGGAGTGCAATGGTGTGATCTTGGTTCACTCAGCCTCTGCCTCCCAGGTTCAAGTGATTCTCCTGCCTCAGCTTCCTGAGTAGCTGGGATTACGGGCATGTGCCACCACACCTGGCTAATTTTGTATTTTTAGTAGAGATGGGGTTTCTCCATGTTGGTTAGTCTGGTCTTGAACTCCTGATTTCAGGTGATCCACCTGCCTTGGCCTCCCAAATAAAAGTAATTTATACTACTTTTGAAATGACAAGGCTTACAGGTGTGAGGCACTGCACACAGTCAGCCTTCTTATTTTCTTGAAGGACAATATATAATAATGATCAGACAGTTTTTTGTGTAAAAAAATCAACTGTCAGACCATAGCTATTTAAATTAGATTATATCTCTAAGTTTCTAGAGGAAAGTGTTAAAACTGAATTAATTATCTTACCTGTGCAAGTGAAGTTTTGTATCAAAAACAAATTTTTAAATTTTACATTTAAATTTTAACTTTTTTGAACAAGTGCTGTTATAAGCAAAGACTTTCCATGGAAGTTACTTTGTGGAAGTGGGGAAGGGAGGGAGAAGCTAATCAGCCTTTTAAATGGTAGTGATTGATTACTTTGAAAATTTTAATTTTATAATGTGACATTTTGTTCAATTAGTAATGATAATGAAATATATTAATAAATGGGAGAAAATTACAGAATTAATGAGCTAGTGGTTATCTATGTAGATGATTTTGAAGATATAGATAATTTTAAAAAACTGTCTACAACCTGCTGGTACACATAAATTAACATTTTTTAGGTTCGTAGTGGTTATTTTACTTTTTTTCCGTAAAAATGAATCACAAAAAGATGCCCAGCAGTAGTCTGCACATTCCTGGTCAGCCCGAGTCCCACTCTCCACTCCTGTGGCAACATCGTGTATGTGTGTATGTGTGTGTATGTGTGTACTAGTATTCATAAAGACATGCTATGTACCTGATTAGCTCAGGCACTAAAGGAGGCCAAAGTAGCATAGGACATAATTTATGCCAGGGAATTCAGAGCTAGAGGAATACAAGACTAACACATAAGTAATGAACTAATTTTCTAAGAAGGATTCATGTCTGGAGGCAGGATGTTAGTGAGTTTTGAAGAATGCTTACCACTTAGCTAAGTAGAAGAGACCGTTTTAGGAAAAGAGAACAGTGTAAGTAAAAGCCCAGCGCTGGACAAAAAACAATCATTTCCCTGTTGTGGGATAGTGAGGGGAATATAGAGACTAAGTTGGAGTTGGCAACCATTTAACTGTTTCCTCATTTAGTTTTCTGGTAGTTTACTCTAAAACTCTAGATGGTAATATATTTATTTTTTAATTTTCCAACTTTAGATAAAAACGTTGACTCTTGGGTATGAAAAATGTTTTTGCTTGTTTGTTCTGCACCTCTCTTTTTCTTGCTCCTCTGAATATAAGTGTTACTGTTTTTTTACAATATGGTTCTCTGTTGGTTACATTTGTAACTATAAATAATCTCTGTGGTGTTTGTGGCTTACCCATTCCCCAAAAAGATATATGGAATTTAACGCTAAGTATTAAATAAGCTCTATGATTTTAGACAGAAGGAAGAAAAAATTGAGAATGGTGCATATAAGTCCTGGGCTAAGAGAAAAATAATTTATACTACTTTTGAAATGAGAAATAATATCTTTTTTTCTTTTAGGTTGAACAAGTAAAATTACTTGACCGATTCAGTACTAGCAACAAGTCATTAACAGGAACACTCTATCTTACGGCTACACATCTATTATTTATAGACTCTCATCAAAAAGAAACCTGGGTAAGGAGGATGGCAGCAGTACTGTTTATCATAATGATGATAATGGCCTTGGTTTGTTGTGTTTTATTTTGAATGTGTATAACGCAATTTTTAATCATTGGTTACCTATCTCAACCAGAATTTTTTTGGTCTCCAAATCAGTCCTGCCCTCCCTTCTAATAAATCAGTTATAGAATGTGTAACGTGGAATTCTATAAAATACCACACTCTTCTCTCCATAATTATAAAATGACTGTTTTTCCTTTTAATTTTTAAAAATCTAAAAAATATGTACATGTTAACCGATCAAATGGATTATTTGATATATTCCGCAGTGTTTTTATACAAATTGCAATTAGGGTATTTTTTTTTTTTTTTTTTTCTAGTATAAATGTTACAATACATCTATATATAACCAGCATTTTGTGTATTTATATGAGACATATGTATATGTTTCTTTCTGTATATTTGCCAGAATTTCTCTGGGATATATGCCTGGTAATCAAGTTAATGGGTCTTGAATAAGCACATATATAACATTACTGAGTATTTCACCTCTTCAAAATGGTTGTTTCAATTCATTCTCAGTAGTGTATTACATGATGTTCTACATTTTCAACGATATTGATATTGTTAGCTTACAATTTTTGCCTATCTAGTAGATTACTGAAATTGTAATGTTAATGAGCTGATTACAAAGAATTTACCCTTTTCAGAATAAAAAAAAAAGAAGTTTCCTTTTCTTTTTTTATTGGGTTGTTTGTCTTTTATTGATTTTATAAGAGTTCTGGGGTACAAATAGAAATACTATTCAACCCAGAAATCCTGTTACTGGATATGTACTCAAAGGAAAATAAATCATCCAACTAAAAAGACTTGCATGTTATTGCAGCACTATTCACAATAGCAAAGATATGGAATCAGCCTAGATATCCATCAGCAGTGGATTGAGGAAAGAAAATGTGGTGCATATGTACCACAGAATACTATGCAGCCATAAAAAAAAGAACAAAATCATGGCCTTTACAGCAACATGGATGGGTACTGTGTTCACTGTCTGGGTAATGGGTTCAATGGAAGCTCAAACCTCAGCACCGTGCAATATATTCATATTACGAACCTGCATGTGTACCCCCTGAATCTAAAAAAAAAAAAAAAATGTGTTATTCAGGAAAAGAAATAGAGTTCTAGGTTATAATGCTTTGTCAGATATGTGCGTCATAGGTAGCTTTTCCTAGTATGTGGCTTGTGTTCTGTGTTTCTGAGTATATATGTCTTTCAGTTAAAGCTTATATTTTTAATGTTACAAATTTTTCATTTTTTTCTTTTATGGTTTGTGCTCTGTTGTGACTGAAGAAATTATCTCCTATCTCAAAGTCATAAAGGTTCTTCTATATTTTCTTCTAAAAGCTTAAGTTATTATCTTGTAAGTTGTTAATACATCTGGGAAATATTTTGGTGTATGATGTGAATAGGGATTCAGTTTTATTTTTTCACATAGACAACTGGCACCATTTATTGAGTGTTTTATTCCATTCAACTTTATTACAAGCTCTGTCATAAATGTGTCTTCCATGTATGTGAGGCTTTGCTTTTGAGTTTTCTATTCTTTTGGTATATTGACTACGCTGTGTCACACTGTTTTATTGACTATAGCTTTTAAATAAGTTTTGATACCAAGTAGAGCATATTCTTCCAAGTTGTTCTTCAAAATTGCAATGGCTATTTTGTTCTTCCTTTTCTGTTTTAGAATTCATTCATTCATTTAGCACACATTTATTGAGCATCTACAGTATGTTTCATATCACTATTTTAGGTATTTTGGAAATAATAGTCAATAATAACAGATACAAATTCTGCCCTCATGGAGCCCACATTCTAGTGCTGAGAGATATGGATAATATCACCAATAAATAGGTAAATAAGTAAAATACAGTGATAAATGCTAGGCAGAAAAAGATGGAATGGGGGTTAGAATATGGGGCTTACATCTGTGTGCCTGAGAGGAAGAGACTTGGGTATGTTTCTGTGCCACTAGCTATGCCAGGTTTTAGAACCTCCACTTTATAGATGAAGAAGCTGAAGCTCAGGGAAGTGGCATTTCGTTCAGTGTAGAGTAGTAAAGGGAGCTCATGTAAGCTGTGTTATCAGGTAGTTTTGGGTTCAAATGTCACCTCTGCTGTTCACTGCTTAGGTGGCCGTGTCAGGGTGCTTTTGGCTGTAAGTAAATGAATACCTGACTGAACATGGTGCCAAATCTTGCAAAGCAGGAGAGGTGGGTGGATTTTCCTCAGTAGCCCCCCTCTCCTTTTATCAGGGAAGAGAGAAGCTCTCTCAGAAGGCCCCCAGCCAACTTTCCCTAATACCTGATCGTTTGAAAATCCAGACAGTTGGCTACTCCTACCTGAAAAGGAGGCAGAGAATGCAAATCCTAGTATTTTTGATCTCTTGAAGGAAAGGGGTGTTGCAAGTAAGGAAGGTGGGGAGGAATGGCAGACCAACAATGTCTGCCAAAAAATATGTGACTTTCGAGCTTAACACCCATATAAAATGGGTATATAGCATCAGTCATCATGTAGGGTTTTTGTGAATCTTAGATGACAGAAAGTATAAAAAGCATCTGTGCCTAAAACATAGTAGTGACAGTAAATCATAGCTGCTCATGCTATTTTTCTAAGCAGTAGAATCAAGATTAGAGGTCAGTTATGCCTCCCAGTGCAGAGAGTCATGTTCTCTGGTACACCCCTGTATTGCACATACTGTACTCTTCTCTTTCTCTCTTTGATTGTACTCTTCTGATTTCCCCAAGAAGGCTAACCAGTTGATATGTGATTGTGTATCAACCATTAAGGAAATTCACTTGAGATACTGATCTTGGAGAAGTTGTATTCCCTAGAGGTGCTAGATCCCTTCTCCATCCAGTGTTTGCCCAAGAATTGCCTGGAATTTTACCTAGCAGTACCTTCTGAAATAATTAGTCATATTATCATCCACTCCATCTACCCCTCCTTTGTCCACCTGCTTCAATATTTTCTCTATTATCCATCTCCTAGAGATATAAATTAAGGCTTCCCGTATAGCTATTCCTTAAGCTGCTAGGAATATAGTTTGAAGGACAGCAAAAGATATCTGTGTTATTCTCCACTCTCCTATTGTTGTCTTTTAAATGCTTTCATATCAGTATATTCCCTTATGTTTCCCCTAAATGAAGTTTGTTTAGTATACTAGAGCCGTAGATAAGAATATTTTAGATCCAGAAGGGGCCTTACCAAAAATACCAAAAATTTTTATCATTTTTCTCATTTTACAGTTATGTTTTCAAGATCACATAACTAGTTAGTGGTAGGACCAGGTTTCTTCATCATTTTCTTCCTGCAAATACTTTTGGGTTTTTTTTTTTTTTTTTTT